GCATTTCTTTGATCATTTGAATGGATTAAATCGATTTCTTTTTTACTCCCTAACTAAACTATTTATAAGTAAAATTTGCTTCCCTCCTTTCTATTTAACAGTTTTAAAGTCTGAAATTCAGCTGATTTCTGGAATATACATTTCAGTTCGTAAATGGTTTTGATGTTTTTAAAAGGTTTAAAAATTGTAAAATTATTTTCTAATTAACCTTCTAATTAGAAGGTTTGTTATTAATTGAACTTCAGCAAATAAAGTTATATGAACATAATTGGTAAAAATAAGTGTCATCCATCGACAGTACATCATCAGCATCAATGTGGATTGTATTGCGTTTTGTAAAGGTAAACCTTAAAACTTATACTATATAGATATTTTATAAATAATCATTAACCTATTTGAAGGTTGGGTTATTAAAATTGCGTGAATGCCGAATATAATAAATGGAGTCGGCGCCCATAACGATCTGAATGCCATAAAACTTGAACTCCCCCCAGCCGTGTGTAGCAGATGTTCCAGATGTAAAGCTATCACTTTAAAGCGGGGCTTCTCTACGTTACAGTTCGACAAATATGTTGTTGTATGACTCTAGTAACTGAATGAAGGTATAAAATATGCTATTGGCAGTAGGTTGAGCATGTCATTAGGTGAATCAAATCAAGAAGTTCAGTCAGCGCCTTTGCTAAACAAAGCATTAATATCACAAAGAGAACACAACATTTAAAATTAATTCCGCCATAGGTCTCAGGGTAAGAGAATTTTTAAAAAGTAATAATTTGAAAAGAGAATTTTTAAAGGATTCATTTGGCGCATCGAAAGCATGAGGTTTTTTCAGCTTTCTATAGGCTCTTATACTCCCAAACTGTGGTTTCTTTAAACTGGTTTATGGCCTTTCTATAAGTAAACATATGTACAGGGTCCATTATGAAAGTAATGAGCATAATGTTATTGTGACTCGACGACAGATGGCAGCACGGTAAAACCGGGGGAAATGTGGTGGAGGGATATGCCCTTTCAATCCATCCGGTCGTCAGTTGAGTTCGAGCAGTGTGAGGGGAGATACATGCCTTCGCTTGAAGTGTGTTTTCAACTTTTGTAACATAGCGCGATGGAGCGTTCGCTTGAACAACGATACGCCATAAAGTTTTGCGTGAGGCTTGGAAAAAATGCAACCGAAACATTCCAGATGCTGCAAAAAGCCTTCAAGGACGATTGCATTTCAAGATCACAGTCTGGGAAGTGGCACAAGGCGTTCAAGGAGGGCCGGGAGGAGGTCGCCGACGAACCCCGTTCAGGACGCCCAACAACGGCCAGAACTGACGAGAACGTAGATCGTGTGCTCGAAGTTTTGCGTACCGACCGTCGATTAAGCATCCAGAAAATTGCTGACACATTACACATGTCCACATTTGTGGTACATGGAATAGTGACCGAGGATCTGCAAATGCGTAAGGTCTGTGCGAAGCTTGTGCCGAAAGTGTTGTCGCAAGACCAGAAAGAACTTAGAATTTTGCGCGCTGTCAAAAATTGTTGGATTTGATTCAAAAGGAACCGGACTTTCTGAACTCTGTAGTAACCGGAGACGAATCCTGGATGTTTGAATACGACCCAGAGTTGAAAATGCAGAGCTGTGCATGGCACACAAAATCATCCCCACGCCCCAAGAAAGCGCGAATGAGCAAGTTGCGCATCAAAACGATGATCATTGTCTTCTTTGACATCCGAGGAATAGAACATTGTGAGTTTGTACCGCAGGGACAAGCTGTAAACTCAGCCTTTTACCTGGAGGTGCTCAGGAGATTGAAACGCCGGATCGCACGCGTGAGGACTGACATCAAAGACACGGTCAAGCTCCACCATGAGAATGCCACCAGCCACACAGCCTTCATCATTACCAACTTCCTGGCCCGGAGCAACACCCCGGTGATCCCTCACCCCTCTTACAGTCCCGACTTAGCTCCATGTGACTTCTTTTTGCTTCCACGACTCAAGAGAGAGATGAAAGGAAAACATTGGGAAACCGTGGAAAACACCCAACACCATGTTACAACGTTCCTGAGAAGCATTCCTGTCGAGGAATTTCAGGGTGCCTTTCAGGCGTGGCAAACGCGTCTCCGCAAGTGTATTGATGCAGGAGGAATGTATTTTGAAGAATATTGAACATTTGCACAAATTACGATCAATAAATGTATTTTGCCAGTAAATGCTCATTACTTTCATAATGGACCCTGTATATAGAAATACATTATCATACAAATAATTCTACACTATACGAAACTGTGTAGAAATAGGTAAATCGCGTTAACACATTACCAATTTCGATAAAACCGATATTAGCCAGCTGATTAGTTCTCTACTGTTACACATGATCTAAATAAGCACTTAGATCCCAAGAATTAATTATATTTTTTCAATTTCTACTGGGTGCGAATCGAGGTATATGATAACAGACGTGTGACTTCGAATATTAGAATTTAAAATTACTTTCAGTCATTCCAATATGTTCATTAAAAATGAACAAATATATTCAAGTATTAATTATCCTTTGTATATATTTCTAAACAATGATTTAATGATGATTCAAATATATCTATGATAAAGAATAAATATTTCATTATAGAGATTAGATCATAAAAATTAAATATGATAATTATCATCAATTTAAAACCTCAAAGGCTTGAGCCTAAGCCAGGGCAGAGCCTGCACACCTCTGTTTACAATAATTATGAAGCAAATGATTTTGATGTGTTTTATTTTAAATAAAAATCATATAAAAACACATCATTAGGGATTAACTGTGGTTCTATAATAGTTCAATCAAGAAAAGTATGATCCATTTCAATTAGCAATTACCAAATGAATATTCGAACGTTAAAAAATGGAAATTTTCTTTAGTTACTTGATATATTTAAACTAACTACACTATGTCAAAAATATTGTTTATTTTCCCCAAAATAATTATGTAAAAATAAGAAAAATATCAAAAAGGTCAGGTGTTGATATTAAAAACAAAAAAGGCATATCTTGTCCGCTCACATGAATATATAAGATGGTAGAGCGCCATCTAACGGAACAAAATAGTTATTTATAAACAAATATAAAGAGACAAGGGTCGCCTCTCCCGTCAAAATAAACGTCTAAAACCAGACGCCATCTATATATACAAATATATATCCCCAAAAAATTATAATATATATATTATCAATATAATCTTACTAAAGTTTTAAATGTTTTCGATTATTTAATAATTCGTTTACCTTTTAAAGTAAATATATTTTATAAAATGGTTACAAACATAAGTTAATATATTTATATATAAATTTGTGTATATAAACAAATATCCTCTCTTATCAATTTACTTTATAAATAAAAAATTGAGGCTTTTACCGCATCATTTTATAGAATACATTCTGGTAATAAAATATAAATAATCAAAAATAAATAAAGGAAATATGAATTTAAATCGTTTTTTTTTTTTACCAAAGGAGATTTTCATTGCATCGCCGGGGGATATTTGGAAGCAATTATTTCCCACAGAGCGATCCGAATATTTCATTCATTATAAATAATTGATGCAACTTCCTCCTGTTGGAAACAGAATTACTTCCTATGTTGCTATTATATCTTTTATTTTATAACATATCTATTTTTTTGAAGACTTAAAGTGAACATCGCTTCTTTTATTTGTTTTTTTTTCTAATTCCCTATTATTTTTATTTTTTAAATACATCAAAGAGAATTTTGGAGTGAATAAACAACAATGATTGTTTCATGTTAATTATAAATGTATAAAATAAATTTAAAGAGTGATATTCTATTACTTTTTTTTACTAAGTGTGGTTTTATTTACCGAAATATAGTTATTGTTCTGCATATTTTAAAGTTTATTTAGCCTGTTAGACTGTTAAATAATTGATTGCTGAAATTATTCTGATAGCGTATTTTATTCTTTGTTGGTAGAGAGAGAAGGAGAGAGAGAGAGAGAGAGAGAGGAAATAATGTTTTATACTTATACTAATGATTCTCATTCAGAAATTTTAACTTAGACCAATATGTAAATGTTATTATATTTCAGAAAGAGCTTCCAATAATATATGATTCTCCTTTCTCTCTACTACTCAAACAATGTATTACATATTCATAATATTACATAAATATTTATAGCTTTTCAGAGTTGTACTGAAATAATACTTTTTTTTCGACCAAATAAATAGTATATTTTCGATGGATATATTTTTGGTATAAATTTATCTCTAAATGAAAAAGAAACCTCTCCTGTTAGAATAAGATCAAATCCTATGTATCCTTTATCTATCACCTATGCTAGTTGGAAGAGCCCTATCGTTTTTAATTGTTTTCTGGAATTTTTTGAAAGCCTTCTAAATACAGTTGAGGCTGAATAGGAATAGGTTTAACCTAATATATGTGGGGAATTAGACTTAGAGTTTCTCTTAAAAAAAATATTTTTATTTTTATTTTTCCGTTCGCCATTACTCTTCATAATTCATCCTTTCATACCTCATCCAAAAAGGTTAGAAATAGTCAATATTTCACCTTGAAATAAAATTTTGATTTTTCGTTGAAAAGAAACTCATGCGGTGTAACTTCAAGTGTCGTTTTACAATTACAGGCCGCAGTGTATTATATTGTATTAAAAGTTACTTTATGTATCATTTATGAACGGAAAAATACATCCAGGGTAGCCTAGTGGACATGGCATCTGCCCGGTAAGCGGAACATTGTGGGTTCAATTCCCATCCTTGGACACTTTTATTTATTTATTTATTTTTCCGTTCGTCATTACTCTTCATAATTCATCCTGTCATACCTCATCCAAAAAGGTTAGAAATAGTCGATATTTCACCTTGAAATAAAATTTTGATTTTTCGTTGAAAAGAAACTCATGCGGTGTAACTTCAAGTGTCGTTTTACAATTACAGGCCGCAGTGCATTATATTGTATTATAAGTTACTTTATGTATCAATTACGAACGGAAAAATACATCCAGGGTAGCCTAGTGGACATGGCATCTGCCCGGTAAGCGGAACATTGTGGGTTCGATTCCCATCCTTGGACACTTTTATTTATTTATTTATTTTTCCGTTCGTCATTACTCTTCATAATTCATCCTTTCATACCTCATCCAAATGGTTAGAAATAGTCGATATTTCACCTCGAAATGAAATTTTGATTTTTCGTTAAAAAGAAACTCATGCGGTGTAACTTCAAGTGTCGTTTTACAATATTCATTATTACGGGTGCTTCCCCAGGTGAACTTGTTTAAGTGATTTATTATCGTATACTCTGTTCATTTATCATTTGTTTCATGATATATTTTGTAATCCTAGCATAATGGGTGAAGCAGGTAAACAGTGAAACAATATAATGGTATTAGAAAGAATCATATCGCTTTATAAATCAATATATACAGGGACATTGGGGGAAACAGTAGAATTGAAAACGATATAGATTTGAATTATTCAGTGCAATGTCAATTATTAGTTACGATACATAGACTCGATACGAATGCAAACGCTAGAACAGTTTATGGCGATTATGACTTTGTTCATTTGGGACTTTACCGTTAAATTCGCATATTTACATACTAGAATAGATGTTTGTGTGTTAAAAGGGGGTGGGGGGATACAGCATCATTGACAGGTGCCTCAACAAAGCCCCATATATAGAAAATGTGGTTGATTAATTTGTTTTATGGTTTGTCGACATTATTCAGATATTACTGCTCCACCTTTGACCCAATGACCTACATTTTAACTCTCTATTTAAAGTATTTATATATAATTAATTATATATAACGTATTCGTAGACACAAAATAATTTTCAACATTTTACAATGAAAATGTCGATGCTCTGCTTATGGATCTGACGGCATTAATCTATATCTCCATAGGCGTAACGTTTCCTAATTAAATTCCGTATGCCTCCCTCTCATGTGATCTATTTGCTTCATTAATGCGTGGTCCCTAATTGCCTTGGTTTTTATGTCCAGGTACCGTGCCGTGGAGATCTTGGTTACGTAATGAGGTTACCTAATCGTTTAGGAAGTAAGTCTTCGTCTTATTAGGTAAAATACCTCTCAGTGAATCTTATTTCCCATTTTAATTAATACATTATTTCTAACTATTTATTATGAAAGTTAAATTAATTGTTATAATATAAATATGTGTGTTATACAATATATGTCCTAAAGGTTCCTATAAATGCCGCATATCCTTGCAACTTCAAAGAATGTTGTATGCTCACGTACTTATTTCGTGCAATTTTTTTATAATTTGGGCTTCCCAGTTTTATGATATAAATAACCTAAACGTAAACTATAAATGTAGTAAATTTGGAAAAGTTTATTCTATATACTGATTAAACCTTGAATATATATATATTTACGTTAATATGACATTTCTGGAGTTTGTCTTCCTATTGAAATATCAAACTTAATAATATAATATACTAGCGGATGTGTACCTGGCTTCGCCCGGGTTTTATCCGAGTGCAAGTTTGCCTAACGAATATTATTGATAATAATATTCGGGAACACACAGAATATTATGATAATAATAATAATTATATTTGTTACGTCATATATTTATATAATATAGCGGATGTACCCGGCTTCGCCCAGGTTTTTCTCGAGGGAATGTTTGTAGTCTAGTAATAAGAAAATATACTACACCTAAAAACTATCAGAGAAAAGAGAAACCACGGAAGGTGAACAGAAAAATGCTTACAATGGATGTATATGTTTACGATATCAAGTTAAATAAAAACAAAGATAAAATTTGCATATGTTGGTCACTATAAATTTGTATATTTGTTAGGCGAAATTAGAAACATGATAAAACAATATGAATATTTTTTCGATTGAGATTATTAGCTAGTATGTAAAATATTAACTCTGTTGAAATTTAATTTTGTATTTATATATAAATAAAATTAACTCTGTTGATTTTTTTTTTTTGTATTTAATCGATAACAGCGAAGTTACGCATGTTAAAGTTAGGAAAAATATTTTGATGTTAAGCAAAACCTGCTCCATCTCGATTTACATAAATGTTGAAAATTTGGTCGAAATTGATGCATTGTAACGAAAGTTTTTAGCGAACACCACTTATGAAATTTCCATTTTATTAATATAGATTTGCTTAATTAAACATATGATTCTCTTTTTCTATTTGTGTGAATATTTAGCATAACATATAATTCCGATCTTGTTTATTGTGTACAGTAATTTTAATTAGTATCTTTCAAAATATTTAATAATCACCATAGTGTTTTCTTCTTAATTTTATATATTTCTCACCTTATATGAATATAAACGTTAATATTGATGAAAATTTTGAAGAATCACAATCTGATTTTAACACTATTTTTTATTTTTTAAATTTTATTTCAATTTAAAGTTAATGTTTAAGAATTATGTTCCCCTTGGGTCACTTGCGCTGTCATACATGTATGCCTTTACATTTGTCTATGCATAAATATACATCTATTTTAACATTACTAATAAATATGAGATGTTGATAGATTTGCAATCTTACAAAGAACTTGATGGAGGAGATTTTGTTTTGCTGATTATTATATAGCATTCCTCAAATAGAGTTTTTTGCTGAAGGAAACTGAGAATACCTATCGACATCAAATAAGTTGCCAAATAATCAGTCAATTAACGTTGTGTAACATATCCAATTAGTGTCTAATGTTTTTTAATTAAGTGGTTGCGTTGAGCAAATAGTTACAGAATTCCTTTAATTTTGACTCTTAAAATGTATGAATATCCTAATGATATATGGCACTTTTAATTATAGAATTATTAATCATTATCTATTTATAACTTAATAGTGAATTTTATATTCATATACGAGAATAATTAAATTTTCTAAAATCGACTAATTTTGAAATTTATTATTCTTGTTATATACTCCTTTGAAATTACGACAGTCTGATGTTCAAATTTGTTCTATGTTTCCTCGGATGATTCCCAAATTAAATCTAGTCACAAATTGACGTTCTGTAATCAATTAAGATAGAACAATTCCTCTATGAACCTCTAATTGTTACTAAACCTAATTATCCCCAGTTAATGATGTCCTAAATTAATATTCCAGGAATATACTCGATATTTGAATCAACAATTCTTTAATGCACTCTCTCTCTAAAATTCATAATGATATATATTTGGAAATAATGTTTAGAGTAATTAGAATAGTATAGTTGTAATTTGTAATATGTGTATCTCTTAGTATAAATAAATATCATATTTATTAAATAAAAAAAAATAAATTTTATTATCAAATCATGTTTTTTTTACCCGTAGTACCTTTCTAACCAAAATAATAATAGTTTACAATATACGATGAAGGTTATAAAAATACTTGAATAGAATAGGTATCCCTATATAATATGCTAATTACAAATATTGTACTAAATTTGATAAAGAAAGTAAATAAATAGAATATATATTTATTTATAAAATTGTAATACCGTGTATATTATTATTTTTTAATCAATATCATAGCAGACATTGCTGTAAACAATCATATGTTTATTCTGTGAGTGTACAGGACAGTAGTTGTAATATCCTGGTAGAATATAATCGCGTAACTGCAAGGAGGATATTGTGAGTTCGCCTAACACTAATTTTCTACTACCTTTTAAATATTATAAATATCCGCCATAAATAAAACAAAATGAATATAGGCGAAAAAATGATCTATTTATTTCAATGAAAGAATGCGTGAAATACTAACAGGATATGAATAAAAAAGCTGACAAGAAAAAAGAAAATCTACAAATAAAAAATGATCTATGGAGCAGCCTAATTGAATTCAACCCAGATAAAAAGAGCCCAATAAATTAATAGCAATTTCCATAAAGCAATTGAGCGATGGCAGAGGAGCAATTACATGGGAACTACCGGCATGTGGTAGCGTGGGTCAAAGGTCGCCAGGGTCAGACTGAGCTATTCAGATAGGCTTAATTAAACTTCTCTTTATATTTGGTCAGCTCGGCCAGGATGATGATTCCTGGGTTGATGATGATGATACAGATGTTCCCATTCCTTCCGTACATCCGGGGGGGGGGGGAGGTCTTGTACCTGGGACTTCTAACTGTCCTCGTAGTCATTTTGTTAACTCTAATACCTTCTTTCTATTATAACAACCTAGGTGATGTTATCAAATAATAGAAGCAAATTGGACATAGTCGTTTCACTTAAAGAACATCGAACTGAGAAAATGATTTTAAAATATAGCAATTTGTAAATAAAAAGTTGCGATGTAATTGACTTCATTATATTAAAATTTAATCCGTTATAATTCGTTCGCTCTAAGTGCGCTAAATTTTCTGTTTCCAATTACGAATTGTCTTATTTTATCCCCCCCGATATAACGCATGTCGAATTTAGCGCAATATCTTTCAGGAATTTCGATTTTTAATTGGGGTTTCACTGTATTTTAGTTTCCGTAGGAGTAAAAATGTCAGGTTTTTATATTTATCAAAATAATTCAAAGCTATACTCTCAAATATTTTCTAGATAATTGTGTTGGAAACAAGAAGGAAATAATAGACGAGAAGAGAGAAAAACTTTATCATAATATAGTCTTTCTGGAATATTTTCGATATTTTGAGATGCCCGGAGAAAAAAAGAAAATGAAGAGCGGTAACAAGCTCACTAAAAGAACAGGTTTAACAAGCCCGGGGTTTTCATCCTGCAATCACTCCTAAAATTGGAACACAGGTTGAACAGCGTCTGTACTCTAATTTAGGAGCAACTACACATGCCATATAGTTTTCCTTTCACAAGTAGCACTTTTATTCTGCATCTATGTCGGCCAGCTACTGAGATAGTATTTCACTTCTGAAATCGTGTTTTTTCAAGGTCCATGAATTTGATACCTTTAAATAATTAATGTAAGAAAGGAGAGAAGGGAGAAATATTCCATCGAAAGTTCTGTGTTCAAGTGTAGTGTGTCTGATTATTGCTAATTTTCTACTGATACTCTCTTTTTGCAATATTCCACTTTGAGAGAGAGAGAGATGAGTGAAAATGATGATAGCGA